ATCTAAATGTTAATTATTAAACCATTATTATCCATCGATGTTTTGAAAAGCAGTTTTGGTTATAAAATAATTAGTTCATTTTTAAAAAAGTGAGTTAAATTGGTTGATGTTTGCTTTTTATGAAACATTAAAAAAAATAGGATCCCAATGGATGCTGGAAAATATTTGCCCAAAATATATTTTTAACTTTAGTAGGTACTAATCGACTTATCGACTTCCGCATATGTGATTGAGTTATATAATTTGACGATTTTTATTTTATTAGTAGCTTAGTTCTAAATGGGTTTTTAAAAAATAAATAAATTTTCTTTTTGCATTAACGGCCGTATACCGAAACAATGCTTCAAAATGTTCTTGTTGATATTTTGTTTTTCTTTTCTATTTAAAGACTTCTAATTTTAAGTTAATTAAATTAAGGCAGATTTATATGAGCCCGTGCTAAACTTTGTTATATGTTGATGCGAATTTACTTTAAAATATTTTCAAATTTTGCAATTAGGCACTAGAATTTGTTATGTTATTCTGTATTTGTTTTTTCATGAGTGCAATGAGAGATGTGTACTTATAACATGTTTATTTTCATTGGTACGTGCAATTTGGTAATAAATAATAAAGACGAACCACTGCGAGATCCAGAAGTGCATGAGATTCAATTGAATTAATTTGTTCATAATGAAATAAATAAAATAATAATACTCATGGGAACGTGGTAAATACTCCCATTCTTCCTGGTTAGATTATTTTTAATATCTTTTTAATGATAGAATAGAATAGAACCTTATTAACCATTCAGATAAGTGGCAATTACAATGGTTATCGCAGATGAGAAATATACAAAATAAACATTAAAAAAGTACAAAAAAATTGCACTAAGTTATACAAAATAGTTCTAGATAATAGATAAGATTTAAATAATACATAAAGTGGAATGTAAGCAGCTCAAGATACTCATCGGACCCATAGCTCTATAAAGAAATTTTTCATTTTCTGCTTAAATTGTCCGGTTAGTAGATTTTTAAGGCTGCTCGGGAGAAGATTGTATAATTTAACATTGATTTTATTAGTTTGCGAGGACGTCAGTCTAGAGTACGATAGGGCGATCGAGTCAGCTTGCCTGGTGTTATACTCATGTCTACTAGTTAGTGTGCGATAAGAATCAGCATTATTATGAATGTATAAAACAGATCTGTAGATGTAGGTAGAGGGCACCGTCATAATCTCCAAATCTGCGAAGATGAGTCTGCAGAGTTCACGCGGACCAACGCCGCTAAGTAGCCGCGTGGCCTTTTGCAAACGAAAGGCTTTTTCCTAGTATCTTACCCCACCCCACAACACCACACCTTAAGACAACACATTGTGCAGCAGACCGAAGTAGGCTGTTCTTAGGGCCAACCTTGTTAGATAGTTCCTGAGATGTCTTAACAGAAACAAACACCGGGACAGTGTGGCGCAGACCTCGTCGATCTGGCCGGTCCATGACAGAGTTCTGTCATGGACCGGCTACTACTTTGTTACAAGAGAACGTAAGTTCTTGAGTTTTTTGCTGGTTAAAGACCAGGTGGTTTGCAGAGAACCACTGCTGAAGGACCCTCACAGTCTCATCAACGTTTTCAGTAAGCATTCTATGGTTTCTAGCCGTAAAGAGAACGGCAGTGTCATCCGCGTAGAGGGTCACGTTTGCATTGGGTATGGACAGCGGCAGATCATTTATGTAAATAATGAAGAGCAGAGGCCCCAGTACCGACCCCTGAGGCACGCCAGAGACTACTGGGAGAACGCTATCGCTTGACACACCGCCAATCTCAACGTACTGAAACCTGCTGTCTCGCTATGACCCTATTAATTGTAGAGGGATACCCCTGACGCCGTAAAACTCTAATTTATTTAATAGTACGACGTGGTTAACACAGTCAAGGGCCTTTGTAAGGTCATACAACAGGGCCTTCGAAATCTCACCATCGTCATGTCCTCGGACCACCCTGCTCTCAAAGTCTATGAGCGCATGGGTTGTGGATTTCTTTTGACGAAACCCGAACTGAGAGTCGCTCAGAAGTTTGTGGTTTTGAAAACCTCATATAAGGCGGGTCTTTCATTATTTAATTGTTTTTAATTATCAGTTGGACTGTGGTCCGGAAGCACGCCTACCGAAAAAACGATTCACGAGCACTCCGGTCGGCCAAATGGAAGGGTTGAGAATCTTCTTCGATTCAGCATCCAGCACCATGCACTTAAATGATGCATAACTCTCGGGGACCATGGACCTGATCTGGCTGCACTTTGACCTCCGTAAACATAGGCCTCAAGTATTCCTCAATGTCAGCGGGTTGTGTGGTTGGATGCATCTTCGAGATGTGAAATTGAGACCTTCTGATGGCCACCTGCAGCTTGCACGACGAACGGTCGCTAAGGTGGCCCACAACCGGTTGGAGCCGGGGGATGAAATTGGATCGAGAAATCGGGGCGCTTCCAGATGTCAGATTGATGATTTCGGTACATTTTTTCCTGGCTGCAGCCTTATGCAGAGCTCCCGCAATAGTCGGCCCAGTTAGACTATTTTGTGGGAGTGTAATGCCTCTCTCGTTGGATGTATTACTAGGTTTTATGATAGGTTTGATTGACTTATTAACCGTGTCGAAAGGAGCCGGGCCAATATGCTGACTTATACTTCAACATTGCCATCTGATCATGAAGAGAATCAATAACCATTGCTTGGTAGCATATAGTTTCGTCTTTTTGCTTAAGCACTTCCTTCAGATACCGGATAAGGTGGTCGATGGTTGGACAGTCTGCCAAGGTCTGATCCTCTGTGTTCATTGTCTCCGCTGGGGTCGGTTCGGTGGATGACCCAGCAGGCTTGTCGGCCTTGCGAAGGTCATACATACAGGAGCCTATTTTGTCATCTTGAAGTATTTTGACCAATTTGCATATTTTAGCGCAAGACTTGTGCATTAGTATACCACAAACGATGAACCTCAGACCTGTGTCCGCGACACCGTCACAGCGTTTGCAGATTTTTTGCACCATTGCTATCACTATACGAGAATACAGCTGTTATACAGTGAGAAAAATCGGTATCCAAATACATCCATACATTTTTTGCAAAAAAAAAAAAATACGAAAATAAGTTTTGTTTTTAACAAAAGGATCATTTCACGATTTTAGTTTTCTATAAATTGGCGAAGGGGGACAAAAACTAACAGCGTTCCGTTTTTAATCCGTCGGTCCTTTTACCGACCACTAAGGGATAAATAAATAAAATAAAAGAAAAGACACTCGAAACTAAGTAAAATTTTGGCTAGTAAAATAAAGGGCCCCGAGCTAAACTGAAATATTAAAAAAATACGGGATCTTATAAAAAAAGGATTATATCATCATACTTATTTTGATCTTCCTGTCTACTTACCGACTTGTGTGATTTAGAACTGATCTTCCTAAAAATAGATATAATCCTAACCAAAGCTGCTGTTACTTAAAAATAAATAAATAAAGATATTATTGCCAAAAACCTGAGGTGAAGAGATTATTTAACAAGATAAGTGTAATAATATGGGTGTTTTTTTTTTCGATGTATAGAACTTTAAGTTGGCATGACTGTTCAAGATGGCGACCGATTTAACAGCTGTCACGTGATTTATTCTCAGTTTGGTTTGGCAATTCATCACGAATAGACTCACGCCTGAACAACGCTTGCAAATAGTGCAATTTTATTTCGAAAATAATGGTTCTGTGCGGAATACGTATCGCGCACTACGTCCATTTTATCGTCGACAAAATCGTCCATCAGAGCAATTAATTCGATTAACCATGGAACGTTTTCGCACCACGTTTACTCTTATCGTTTACTCGCATCCCCAGAGACGCCGTACGGTGCGTACAGAAGAAGCTATTGCTAGTGTAGAGCGTAGCATTGAGGAAGACCCGAATGAGTCCATCCGCCATCGAACACAGAAATTGGATCTGTGTCCATCCACTTTATCGAAAGATCTTGATTTACGTGATTACAAAATCCAGCTCGTGCAAGAATTGAAGCCAAACGATCATCAAGTAAGGCGTAGATTCGTCGAATGGGCCCAAAACGAAATTGCCGTTGTTCTCGATTTTCATAATCTAATTTTGTTTAGCGATGAAGCGCACTTCTGGTTGAATGGCTACGTCAACAAACAAAACTGCCGCATTTGGAGCGAAACTAATCCTCAAGTTTATGTCAAAACACCGTTACATCCAGAAAAACTGACTGTTGGGTGCGCTTTATGGGCTGGTGGAATCATTAATCCGTAATTCTTCAAAAACGTTGATGGTCAGAACGTTACAGTCAATGGTGATCGGTAAAGAGCTATGATTACTAACTCTTTCATTCCTGAATTGAATAACCATGATGTCCAGGAGATGTGGTTTGAACAAGACGGCGCAACATGTCACACAGCTCGTGCCACAATCGATTTATTGAAAGACACGTTTGGTGACCGCCTAATTTCACGTTTTGGACCTGTGAATTGGCCTTGTGATTTAACACCACTAGACTACTTTCTGTTTGGCTATGTAAAGTCATTGGTCTCTGCGGATAAGCCACAAACGCTTGACCATTTGGAAGACAACATTCGCCGTGTTATTGCCGATATACGGCCACAAATGTTGGAAAAAGTCATCGAAAATTGGACGTCCCGATTGGACTACATCGGCGCCAGCTGTGGCGGTCATATGCCAGAAATCATATTTAAAATGTAATGCCACAAGATTATCTTTCGGATAAATAAAATTTATGTCAATCGAATAATCCATCGTTGTTTTATTGCAACTTAAAGTTCTATACATCGAAAAAAAACACCCCTTAGTAAGTTTTTGATATGTTCGAACAGAACCACATTTTTTTCTTTTTGTTAAACAATTATATTACTCTTGTTGGATTTGAAGTCTCTCTCTCTCTCTATATATATATATATATATATATATATATATATATATATATATATATATATATATATATATCATCATCATCATCCTCAGCTATCCATCCATCGTCGGACGTACGCCTCCCCTAAGCATTGCCACTCCTTTCTATCCTGCGCATGCCACATCCAATTGTCTCCCACCAGTCTCTTTATATCATCTGTCCACCTAGTCTGGGGGCGTCCTCTGCTCCTCTTACTGCTCCATGGTCTCCACTCCATCACTCTGCGTGTCCAACGATCATCTTTGCTCCTGGCTATATGTCCTGCCCAGCTCCATCGCAGTCTACATAATCTCTCTATGACATCTGTCACTTTTGATCTTTCCCGGATTATATTATTGTTTATTCGGTCCCGGAGGGTTACACCTATCATCCTCCTTTCCATAGCTCGTTGTGTTGTTTGTAGCTTGCAAATGATTTCTTTATTAATTGCCCATGTTTCTGTACCGTATGTTAGTGTTGGAAGTACATATTGATCGAAGATTTGCGCTTTGAGGGTGTTTGGGAGGCCTGAACAAAAAACCTCTCTGAGTCTTCCAAAGGCTGTCCATGCCAACGATATCCTTCGCGGTAGTTCTGCTTTTAAGTTGTTTTTTGAAACTTCTATTTTCTGACCTAGATAAACATAGGATTCTGTGTGTTCTATTTTTTTGTTATCTATTTCGATTCTCGTTTCTTGTGTGATATTATCGTTCGTCATATATTTGGTTTTTCCTATATTCATCTTGAGGCCTATCTTTTTAGAGTTTTGATCTAGTTCCAATAGCATGTCTTGCAAATCTTGTTGATTATCCGCGAAGAGAACAATATCGTCAGCAAACCGTAGGTGACTTAAGTATTCTCCATTTATTTTAATGCCCTTAGTTTCCCATCCGATATTCTTGAACATATCCTCCAACGCAAGCGTGAACAGCTTCGGTGAGATGGACTCTCCTTGTCTAACTCCTCTGCCTATATCAATCTTATCTGTGAAATCTTTCAACATAACTTGGAGGGTTGCGTTGCTATATATATTTTGGATTAAGGTTGTGCATCGATAGTCGACTCTGCTGTTGCTTAATGCCTTCAATACAGCCCATATCTCTACAGAGTCAAAAGCTTTTTCATAGTCAATAAAAGCGACCCAGATTGGGATATTGTATTCATTTGTCTTTTCTATAACTGTTCTTACTACTTGCAGATGATCTAGTGTGCTGAAACCTCTTCTAAATCCGGCTTGCTCTTTAGGCTGGTAACTGTCAAGTTTGTTGGTCAATCTTTCTGTTATTATTTTTATAAATACTTTATACATGACAGACAACAGGCTGATTGGTCTGTAATTGCTTAATTTAGTTTTATCGCCTTTTTTGAAGAGCAAAACTACTAGGGCGTTCTTCCAGTCTGCGGGGACGTCGCACTCCAGCAGGCATTTATTGTATAAAATTTTTAAAATGTCCAGAACTATTTCTCCTCCATAGATCAGCATTTCCAATACTATACCATCCCCTCCCGCTGTTCTTCCTTTTGGCATTTTGGACATGGTTCTCTCAATTTCCTCACTTGTTATGTCTGGGATTTCTTCTGAGCCTACATTCATTACCTTCTGTCGTTCTTTAGAAGATGTTTCTAGTGGTGGTTTGGCTTTGCTTTCGTATAGCGATCGATAAAATGCCTCAGTTAATTCTTTTAATTCTTCCATCCTGGTACATTCGATGTTGTTCTCATTTACAAGCTTTGTGATGTGGGTCCTGTTCTTAAATTCCCTTTGCAGTACTTTCAAACTTTTTCTCTCCTCTAGCGTCTGTCTAACTTGCTGGTTCTTATAATTCCTTGTTTCGAGTCGGATTTTCTTTCTTATTGTCTTGTTTATATATATATATATATATATATATATATATATATATATATATATATATATATATATATATATATATATATATATATATATATATATATATATATATATATATATATATATATATATATATATATATATATATATATATATATATATATATATATATATATATATATATATATATATATCTATACGAAAAAGTCTATATTGACCCATCATTCTGTTATGGGAAGAACTTTTTTTGAGTAACATCACGTACTGGGTGAGTTAACAATAGAGTATAGTTAATTATTTCATTGGTTTCAAAAGTTATGAGAAAATGCAAAATACAAAAATTGTTTTGATTTTTGGGATGCACGATTATTTTTTTTACAGTTTACAGAGTGGCTTAAAAATAATAAAATAAAATACACATTTTTAAAATTTTTGTTTTGAATTCATTTTGAGATTCTTAAACTTTTTTTTTAAATTCAATTTTCAATATTTAAATTTTTGTCACTATTACTAGTGAAAAAATTATGATTGCGCCATTATTTTTGATGGTAGGTCTTATTTGACATGAACGTTATTCGAAGATCACGTAAAAGATACATGCAACTAAATTTGAATTAAATACTACAGGGTGTTCAAAATAAACGAATATATTGGAATGTATGGTGGTTGAACCTGAGAGACGATAAAACATGTTCTGTTCAACAAGTGACCTTTAATTACTGTATAATTACTAATTAATTACTATTAAACCAAAAATATATTTACGACTTAAGTATTATCTTAGCGAATTTTCGAGTGTGATTATTTTTCGCTTAAGATGTATTAAAATTGTGTAAATATGTAACGTATTGTCGTAAACCATATTTTGGCTAATAAACATACAATTATTATTATTATTATAATTTTAATTTTAATTTGAAAAATCTCGTTAACACCTACAACTTTTATTTAATTTTTCAAAGAAATTTCCACAGGCTACTCTAATGCTTTTTACAAAACTTCTGGATTCCTCCTGCGTCAGTTTTTGCTTTGTCGAAATTGCTGACGTTTCGCCAATCATCCTGTTGGCTTCTTCAGTTTCAGTCAAGCTCAGAAGAAGCCAACAGGATGATTGGCGAAACGTCAGCAATTTCGACTAAGCAAAAACCGACGCAGGAGGAATTTAGAAGTTTTGTAAAATGCAACTTTTTTTTAGTATGTCATATTACCTATTTTTAATACTTTGCGATTTATTTTAACTTTTCCAATATTTACCATTCCCTCTGTCTAAGACTATTGGTATTGGTATTGGTCCAAGCACTTAGGCCACCAGATGGGCCCGCTCTAGAGGGCGTCCAGAATGCCGCCCCTCCTATAGAAGGTCAGCAACTCCTTTAGCCCAATACCGTGCACTGAGTCCGGATCGATCAGGGCCGTTCCGAAGACTCCCAATCTTGCCCATGTCAAGGCAGGGCACTCGGTGAGCAGATGATACGGGGTCCCCTCCCCTTCCATGCACCACCTACACTCCGGGTCGTCTCCAATGCCTAGCAAGCAAAGATGCCTCCTAAGCCTGCAATGTCCTGTGTAGGCCCCTGTTAGTGCTCTACACTCCCTTCTGGTAAGTCTAAGCAGCTCCCTGGTCCGAGGAAGGTCGGGCCCATCCATCATAAGCCTCGCCTGCCTCATTCCCGGAGCAACTCTCCAGACGGGGCCCGGTCTCTCACCCAGGCTTCGAGCGCTCCCCGCCTCACACACGGGGCGATCCCCAAGCGGGGCTCTGATCCCATATACCCCCTGGCTAAGGCGTCCGCTGCCTCATTGCCCCGGATACCGGTGTGACCCGGGATCCAGACCAACGTGATCTTCCTCTCCTCAGTACCCCTTTACACTCCTTTATCAACAACTGACTTCAGCGCCATGAGTGCAGCCCTACTATCCGAGCAGAATAAGACTCTCCTGCTTCCGTGGTTGAGCCGAAGCACCTCTCTGGCCGCCATCAATAAAGCGAAAATTTCCGCCTGAAACACAGTGCAGTACTGACCCAGAGGGACCGACAAGCTCGATCCTGTTGTCTCGCAGTACGCTCCAGCTCCGGCCAGATCTCCCATTCTGGACCCGTCCGTGTACCAGACAAGTCCATCCCAGGAGCCGACTCTGCCCTCTGTCCAATCTTCCCTTGATGGAAAGAGAAATGTCAATTTGTCAAAGAGGGTCATCTCGGGGATCATGACGTCACTCGGCATGTCCATGACCCCGCTTTCCCCGCGACAGCCCTCTAAAATGTCGTACGGACCCCGATTGAAGGTTCCCTCCCTCCAGAGCCCGCAGCTCGCCAGCCTCACAGCTATCCTGGCCGCCTCCATCTGCACCCGATCCGCCAGAGAGGGCAACCCCACCAGAACTGTCTAAGACTATTGCCATAATATTAGCCAACAGTACCCCAACAGTTATGATTAAAAAATAGTCATTGTTGGAGCCGTAAAAAAAAAAAATTAAATACCTGGCAAAAATTTAAATATCTTATTTTTAATTATTATTATGGCGCAACAAATGTTCAAAAATACGCCCTCTACCGACCCATTTCTGTGGGTAATGATTATTTCAAATTTATCGAACTTCTCCATGGTAATGCGGAGGTGCGCCATCTTGCTGAAACCACATTTGTTGGATCTCAATGTTGTCTACTTCTTTAAGAAGTTGACGTAAATCATTCGGCAAAAAAGCGGTTCCCGAAAAAAGTGAGCAATGGTGTTGGTTTTGCACAAGATCTCCTTTCTATTTGTGCTCATGTTACTTATTTAATTAAGTTGCTAAACAATCCTCCAGGAGTGAAACCATTTTCAAAATTTAGCGCCATCCGAAAAAATTGTATTTAGTAGAACGTAATTTTGTTTGCTTTGATTTGGAATACTAACAACTTTCAACAAACCAACCATTTCTCGATATAAGTTTTTGGAGTGGTTAAGGGTGACAAAAACTAACCGCGTTCCGATTTAATTCGTCGGTCCTTTTACCAGCCACTCGGGAAGTTCATTAAAAACAATTGACAACACACACCCCTTGAGGGAGCGCAAAAATGAGCGAGAAGAAAAATGCTTTGTTGGCGAGGACGTGGCCGTCAGCGTTTTCGGCCGACCCGTCGTTAAACATACGCCGGAGAGTTTTTCTTTTGTTTTTTTTTTTCGTGTTAAGGCGGTGGGGAGAGCAACTGTGTTCGTGTTCGGGCTGCCAGCCCTTAGCGGACAGTAATTGATTCAATAAGTGGAAAACACGCCTCAAACAATTTCCCGTCCCGATGCCAAACACAACCGTATCGCAAAACTTAAATAAAAATAAACATTTTTCGATACCGTATTTGCTACTGAAAATTTCTATGCCTGCGAATAAGTCGAGTCGATGCCCTATGCAGAAATACATATACCAGTAATAGCAACGAGGAACGCTATGGATATGGGTACGGGAAACTGGCGGTCATAGAAAAAACCCGAAAGGGAATTATTTTCGAGTTTTTGAAATGGCCACCAGAGGTGATTTTGAACAACATTTTTTATATCAATTTTTCTTTGCTCTTGGGGGCACCAACAGAATAAACCCATACTCTTAAGAGTAAATAGAATATTAACTACTCCACAGATGCGTAATATAATATAATCCAAAGTTTCGGTATCAACAAAAGGAAGAAAAACATTAAAATAAAAACAGTTTAAACTTAAGAAGGGTATTTAAACTTTGGAAAGTTGATTCTGCATAGACATTTTCCTTTATCACACAAGGTTTTTTATCAACATTAGAAGAATTAATCAATTAAAATCTTGGGTGGTTCAAACATTTTTTTTAGTACAAAAACAAAAAACCGATTTAAAAAATATGAATTAAACAAGAAAATCTCAAATAGTTAAGTCCAATTATTTTTGGAAAATCTCTCTCTCTCTCTCTCTCTCTCTCTCTCTCTCTCTCTCTCTCTCTCTCGGCAGAAAAACTTCGTTTGATGAATTTTCTTGTATATTCCATTGCTGAATTATTTTTTAGTCCTCAAAACTGTAGTATATAGATGAGGAATAACAATGCAATAAAGGTTCGGATGAACGATGTTTTTCAAATGTTTAGTGTTATATCTACGAACATTGTACATGCATATCCGATTTGCAGCTCTCAGCAGCAGAATTTTGAGAATTATTGGTGTTACTGAAGGAAATAATGAACAAGGATTTAGTTCGAAGGGTATTTATTACATTAAATGGTATTCTTGCAAATATTACAGAACAGTCCACACGGCCAAGCAAGCAAGCATGCAAGATTTTATATAATTAAAGATTTTTGATTTAACCTATTTCTTATTTATTTTTATTTGATATTAATACAATTATTATTTTGATTTTTTTTTGTTTTCTTTTTAACGAAAGGGTTTTCTGTTTCATGTTTATTTATCGCATTACTGCTTTTTATATCTAAAAAAATGTTGTTTTTAATCGAATAAGTGACGGGACAGAGATTGAAAATCATCAAATAGCTCGTTTTTGAAAAGTCCAAAAACGAAATTTTCGAAAAAAAGTTAAGTGGATGCTTTCGCACGTTCAAATTTATTTTTCGACACCATAATGGGACTAGGATCTCATTTTGGAGCCCGGATCGTTACCGTAGAGGCACCGGTCCCTCACAACTTTGTAATAGCCGTATCACTCCTATAGCATGATTTCAATTGAATAACTACCACTCTACTTTAGTTAGTTACAATTTTTCAAGCTCACAAAATTATCCCTTAGCTGACAATATTACTTTTTTACATTTTGATCCGTTTTCAAATATGATTTATTATTAATCAGTTTTAATCACTACTTCGGTCACTAATCAATTGTTCAATCATTAACTATTAACGTATTTAAATAATACAATGAAAAAAAAAACGAAAAAAAAAAGTAAAACATAGACTTAATGGCAATAATTCATTTCTAAGTGCCAAGATTGACTTAAAACTTTTTATATGTAAGGATTTATATTTAATTTGCAGCTATCCACTTTTTATTCGGAACGAGTAACCTTGTGCGCAATCGGAGAGTAGTTTTTAAAAAAATGTTTAAAAATGTTAAAGCTATTTTGAGATCCAGGAAAAAAAATCATTTTTTTTTATTATTTACAGGGTGTATCGGTTATGGGCAAACCCTGAAAGCTTGCCGTTTTCGGGGATAAATTATGAAAGATAGAAAAAAATTTGGAAATTTGGTTTTAACAGTATACTAGTTCGCGTCTAGAGTTCATTCCAACGGTTTGCGTTATACAGGGTGTCCGAGATATTTGAAGTAATATAGACGGAAATCGCTAATTGGCTTGTTTTTGAAGGTAGGTTGACTGATGATTTGAAACGCTCTTTATTCACAAAAGAATTCCATTCATTTTGTGAAATTTATGTGGAGGCCCGCGAATTAGTGTCCTTATTTTACAAAAATTGTGTCGTTAACTTTCTTGAACATTGGTTTGACATTTCATTGCATTTTCACTTCGATATCATATATCAGGTACGGTCTGCCCCCTATGACTGCACCTTCTATCTGGTTATGTATATCTGTTCCATTTGTGTCTTAATTAATAGTGAATGTAGTCTAGATCTACAGCCCTGAGCGCATGATGCCCCGTCAGCTTCTTGATATTGTACATTCAAGAAATTATATTAATCTACTTTGATATGGCGAATACACCTGGCCGAATCGCTATGAAATATGCAGTTCACTTTATTGGTTTGTTTAGCCAGAAATGAAATTTATTCGTATATATCAATATATCCAGGGGCGGTACATATATATTACAATTTTGATAGGTCCAGGATAATTTTTTTTCTCGATCAAGCGCTTTAAACTGCACTCGACTTTATATTTAAGGAATGTACCTCGAATATTCCTATAAATATACTGGGCGACCCAAAATGTCGGAATACTCAATAACTTGTCGGTTTGAGCAGAAGCATCTTTTTTGCATTGTTGGATTTGCGAGATTATTCTACTCAGAACAGCACCATTTTCCAAACCACTTTTTCCAAAAATTGGATTTAGTTTTGAAAATTGTATTTAGGCAGATAGGACAATAAATACATTTTACCGGGCCCACTGGTGTTGAGAAAAATTCTAAATGTAAGTTTACCTTACTTATCTAGTGAACTAATAATAATTTAAAATAATCTAGTTTCTTCAAATAAGCACCTCAATGGAAACAACAAAATTTTTTAAAACTTGCACTGTTTTCCAATATTACAGAGCCTTAAAAAAATAAGCTCCCAGTCGGGTTATTGATTTGAATTATCATGGATAATAATTTATTTACAATTTTAGAAAATGTTAATCAACTTCTGATATAAGCGGAATGCGAAAATTGGAAGGAAACAACTAGACTGAGCTTTTCCTTTAATTGACGGAAGACTGTACTTTAATTAATTTTTTTTATACATTTTAAAATGCCGAAAGTGGCTTATGATGATAAAAAGTTGATATGGCTTGTGGGATAGTCCGAATGCATTCAAACATGTCAACTAACATAAGAGTACAGAAAAATTTGTCTTAATCGTCTCGAGAAAAAGCTGGAACAATTTTTCCTAAGATAGAAAAAGGAAAGCTTGCTAATATTTAATATTTATTCTTAGTAATATTTCATTTTTATTAAAATGTGATCTGATTTATCCTTTCTAGTTTTCAAAATGTTGGGTTCAAAATGTTGCAAAAAAAAATCCGATTTTAAAGTATTTGTTCCCATTAAGAAGCTGAAAAAAAAATACGTCATCATTAAGTCATTACATTAAATGCTATTTGCCATTGGATGCGTAAGGAAAAGTAAGTCAGAAAATTTCCCAACCAAATATTTTTGAAAAACAAAAAATTATTTTAAATAATTGTATTAGCCCAAAAATGAAAAAGATATATATACGGTGTACCATTAAAACTTCAAGATTAGCTTAGTTTTCGGTCACTTAATTCTTTCGGAAATTTTAAAATAATTTGAAAGTTTCTCGTGCCATCCGGTATACAGAGTGTTTTCTAATTGAATGTCAATACTTAAGAAGGCGATTTTTTGGTCCATTTTAAAAAGAAAACTTTATATGAACAAATGCACTAAAGGTCTTAACTTTTGAGATACAGAATGGTAAAATTTTCAAAAATAAAATATATTTTTCAATATCTGTAATACCACTTTATATATTTTAATGAAATTTGACATCATTTGGCATCAAGATGCATTATTTAGTCTACCCCAATTTTTTTAAAATACCCCAGTGGAATTTGGCATATCTGTTTTGACAGACATTGATGGTACGCCTCTGATTTCTCTTAAAATAAAAATTATTCTTACGACTTCCAATCATTTCTTAAGAAATTTGATTTCTTGTTTTTTTTCAATCCGATATACGGTTTTCACTTAAAAAAATAAAAAGCTTTTCTCTGCATGGGCATAACAATATAGTTACTGTGACAGTATGCACAGAATTATTATCATTATTATTTCGAACTTAAGTAATTGTCTATCTGTTTTATTAAAATACATCAAAAAATTTAAGTACGAATGAGAAGTACGTAAACTTAAATAAATCAAATATTTTTTTTTACTATTTATCTTTTTGGAATGTTATGTTATATCACTAAAACTGCAAAATTAAAAAAATACAATAGTTGGTAACTAAAAACTAGATATTTTGTTTTAGATAGATATTTTATTTTTCACAAAAAAAAATCCCGATGTAACCAGTGATGTGGCGACCTAATTAACCAAAATATCTATTCATAGAGAGTCAGTGGTACGCCACTGATTTCCTTAAAAAAGTGTGAGATTTGCATTCATTTAGAAGCAGATTTGATCTCTTAACTTTTTTTTTGTGCGTCGCGTGATTTAAAAATAAAAACTAATTTGCCAATAAGTGCTAATCGGATTGAAAAAATTTAAAAAAATAAATTTCTTTAGAAATAAATGAAAATACTTACTTTTACTACCCTGTATCTCAAAACTTAAGACGTTTAGGATATATGTTCATATGAAGTTTTCTTGTAAAAATGGACCCACCCTGTATAGATAATAATATAATATAATATAATAATATAATATATAAGAAGATATTATCATTAAAAGTCTTACAGGGCTGGATAACTTGTTTTTATGTGAACAAAGACGTGAAATTCAGCAATTCTTTCTTGTTCTTTTATCCGTTATTGTTAGTTTTTACTTTACTTCGTTTTTGAAAGCTTTTTCTCTATTTCATATAACATTCCATATTTAAAAAATTTGGATATATAATAATAGGTGATTTGTAATTCGCAATTACATAGACGTGGATAAAATGATTAGATTATAAAAACATGTCCGGTCCTGTCAAGGTCTGGTGCCACTCTAATGGGTATAATTAACTTTACCACCTCAGAGTCACGCTTAAAACCGTAAAACCCGTACCTCAACAATAAAGAAATATTACCAAACAATAGTAATCTATGGGGTTCAGATAATACGAAATCGTTAAGGGCTCTGAACGCGGATTTGCCAATAAATACGAAATCCCGGGTTTCTCGTAGTCGAGTAGACGCGTTCTTAAAGTACTAACAACATGTCTGCCAAAAGTTCGTTTTCTATCGATTCAATTTTGGAAAATGCTTGCGGCAGCTCGACCAGCATCGGTGACGGTCAAAAAAACGACAAACCGCCGTATAGTTACAACGCCCTTATCGTGATGGCGATCAGAAACAGTGCTGAGAAGAAGGTTACTCTAAACGGAATCTACGAGTACATCATTAAAAATTTCCCGTACTACCGCGAAAACAAACAGGGATGGCAAAACTCGATCAGGCACAACCTGAGTTTGAGTAAATATTTCGTCAAAGTACCACGCCCGTTTGACGACCCGGGCAAAGGCAGTTATTGGATGCTAGACGCCTCTGCCGATGACGTATTTATAGGTGGAACTACCGGAAAACTCCGCAGGAGAATAAACGAATTACCTCGAATGCCTCCGATGAACATGTCTCAGATACCCGTGCAGTTTCCAAGATGTTACGCAGGCTCTATGTATCCAGGGTATGTTCAGCGTCATATGATGAGCGTACCTCATCAGAATTACGCCCATTGCATACCGCCATATTATCCACGTATCGTTAACTATAGTGTTCATCAGCAGATGCATCACCAAAAAGTCATGAGCAATTATTATCCGAACATGTAAGTTGTAAATTTGCATTTGTTTTGATGTGAATAAGGTAGATATTTATTTATTGGACCGTATACTCGTTTATGTTATTTATATAAATATTTAATATTATTTTATTCCTTATGTTATTGTATTATTATATATTTATTCATTTATGTTTATTGTGGTTATAAAAGTTTGCGTCATATTTATTTACGAAAATAGAACCTGTTCCATATATTTTCGGTCTTTTTTGTTTCAAAAACCTAGCCTCAATGTTCGGGATATGCGAAAATGCTTAGTTTTCACGGGATCTTAAATAAACAACAAAAATAACGACCTTTTAAACTATGTTACATATTTTTTGTGCTGTTTTGTTGGAACTTGCAACATCACTGACAATAACATATTGTCAGTATTGTCAACAAGATGTACGCCACTGACATTCTTGCAATCTTTGTTATGTACTATGAATAAGCCACTAAAAGTACAACTTGACGCTTGAGTTGTTTTCGTACTTCTCCGGTTTGCCAGCGAAAATGAAAATTTTGTGAAAAAAATTTATTAGACCCTCTGACACAGAAAAAACTTCAAATCTAAAAAATTAACATTCACTAACTAACTAACACATTTTTGCGGAGGCGAATCTCCAGTCAAGCACTGGTGCGTGTTCTTAAAAAAAACCCTGTATAACTATTTCGACAAACATAAAATGTTTAGGTTATTGAATAAGCATAGCTTCTGTTGTCAACTCCACAAATATCCTGCACATATTATTGCACAAACCAGAGAACAGAAATTTTTTCATTTCATAATTTTTACCAGGTCAATTTAAGTCTTTGTGTCAAGTATCTATTCCATTGTTTTCTTTGACGTGCCATAATCACACGGTTTGTGTAAATCAAGACCCAGAAGAAATACAAAAGCTTATAACAGTATAAAAATATTAAAATATCTTGCGCTGACAATATTATTAGTCTCGTACATTTATATTTTTTGGAATATTTACAAAAAGTTTACGATTTTTTTAGACTGACGACGAAGTCCAACTGTCGCCATTTTTTTTATGCAAAGAGCCTCTAATCTAAAATGGAGCCCATTAGAAAGGCTATTTTAATTGAAATTTAACCCTGTTATTTATGAATGAACATTTGAAATTGAAAAACTTCATTTGTAGCAAAAACCAACATTTTGGTCTATAACTTTATTAAACTTTTATCTAATTGCAACCATGTGCATTCTAAACAAAGTGACGTCACAACTAATGATCGCTACAAAATTGCCTAAATCAGAATGGATATTTTAATAAAAAAAATATAATTAAATATCTCAAACTAAACAATTTTATTACCTTTGAAATGAATATTTTTTAAAATAAAATAACTTCGTGAAAAATTTAAATAATCTAAAAATTTATCCGATTTTCATGATTGTGTAATCAGTTAATAGATCCCTCTATTGGAATTTTCTCGAATTATTTTAGAAACTGACATTTTTCGGATAGACTATATTATTACAGAAAAACATTTACTTTTAATCTAATGTTTTCATTTACATTTTTACCTAAACACTCAATATTCAAACTTCCAGGTCGCGTAAATATGCCTTTAATGTTATATTTAGCAATGAGCGAATTAGCATTTGCCTGTAAGTTGCTTTCTGTTTCTTTTTTTTATAATTATATAATGCATTCCTAATGGAGTGATTACATTTAGTGTTTTTGAGAATAGTTCCTGCAATAGTACATCACTTAAAGACAGGACTACGAAAATGATTATTCAGTGACGGGCAAACGAAAAAAATATAACAAAATATTAATAAAACTCTGAACTGCCTACGTTACACCTCATAAAAATCTCCGATTATCGATTCCGACTGGGAGAAAAGTAATAAAAATACGGGCAGTTTCGTGTGTCAATTAGATGTCGAACCCGAGAAGCGAAACATCTGTCGATTGGTAGGAAAACAACCCCCTATAAATGCCGTAAATAGGGTGATCAAAACCGCGATTTCGTATTCCCCAAGTACCCAATAACTATAAATATTTCGTAAATTGAAATTCGAGCGATGCACGATAGACGCGGATAAATTTACATTACCGTGCTAGTTCGATTTTGGCTAATATCGCCGTGAGAAATTTTCCATAACAATTCAAGAAAAATTATGAGGTTTGGATGTATGGATCATAATTTATTAAATTGGCATTATTATTGGCAAACCCTTTAAATGGCAAACGATAATAAGCGAAGGTATTTCGACATAGTTTCCCCAATAATTGTGAATGTTAACAATAAAAAAAAAAGACTTAAAATTTCAAAAGAAAGACATGTTCAAAATAAGCGTAATAATGTGATGTGATGTGATTAAAAAAATTCAACTTTTATTTTTGACAGAATTATGGCAATTCTTAGGTAAGCAAGTCAGTAAAATAAGAATTTTTTTCTACTCCCTTTACTACGGATTCGAGTCACTTTTAGATTTAGGGGATATTACCCCAAGGCTGAAATTTTGACGTTTGTCAATTGTGAAAAATATACCCAAAAACTAACGGTCGTAGAAAACGTATAGTATGAAACAACAACAGCCACAAAACTTTTTAAGTCGCTCGTTTATTAAACACTCGCTCCACTGCTCTCTGTTCGTGGCAAATAAACTAAATGTATGGTCCTGAATATTTCGATATTTTTATACTGAATTTAATTGGACCAGAATTTTGGTTACAAAATTGTGATCAATTTGTTACTGAATATTAAAAAAGAGAAATTTGATTTTCAATTGACCAGGTAAGTTTCTAGTACCCGTTAAGTTCTTATATTGTCACAAATACATTTTTGCCAGTAAAGACACTGAATATGGAGTTTGTAATTTATTTAACACAAAGTATCCAGAAAGACGAATACTAACATCCATAGTGAATAAAAATTATAGAAAGTTTAAAGAAACAGTCAAAATTGTAATGTTAGTCAACGAACAGCTTTGCGTGTATTAAAAGGAAGAAAAGTATCATCTGTACAACATTACATTACTACAATTTCTTTAATACGATTCAGTTTCTACTATCGCAGCTTCTTTTCGAAATCCAAATCAGCATAATATGACAGATACACAGATTTGGTTTCAGCAGGATAGTGCTCCACCCCATTTTGCTCGACAAGTTTGGGAATATTTAAATCACAGACAGTGGCTTGGGAGAAGGGCAACAATAGAATGGCCTGCAAGGTCTCTAGCTACTACTCCAGTGGATTTATTCCTCTGGGAATATTTAATATCAAACTGACAGAAAAACAGAAAAAAAAGAACTAATAAAAATATCCTGAGCAACGTTTTTAAACCGATTAAGATATTGTTAAGGAGTTAATGGTGGGCATTTTAAGCACCTTATAAAATAATTTCTTTTACATGTTTTTTATTCTATTGCTCATACAAAGGGATGAATATAGGATATACTACATGAATTATGCTTGGAATTTAACCCAGAATTCGAAAACCTATTTTAATAGATGGTGTTCCATTTAACTCTGTATAGTTTATATTTACAGCAAAATTTCAATACCTCATTTTTAAATTAACTTGTTCCATATTTTAGCTGTTCGCTCTATAAATATTATCGATAATCTAAAATTTATATTGATAATAGACAACCATAATAGAATTTTCCACATGACACGCCCTTATACTGCAGTTTGCTAACCTTCAGTTCCCCTTTATAGAACTTGGGCTTTCATTGAGATCGGCAGGTAAGTTAAAAAAAAAACCATTGCAATTTCCCTCATTATTGTCGATTTACACTTTATCAAGTGCAACGGTCATAGTGGAAAATTTAATGTTACAGTTTAGACAGGGGTTCTGACTCATACTTGACTGATCGATTTGCAATTTGACAGCTAAACACTGTACTTGCTATCTAATCAACGGGTCATTTTCTTTGCCACGGTGAATGGCACGTTTGTGAACAAGACCTGGACTAAATACTTGATCGTTTATGTAAGCGAGCTACTTTCAAAAAGTAGCATCAATTTTGATATTTTAAATGAGACATCCTGCATATTATTGAATTTTCCGTTCCGAAATTGATGTCTGCTTATTTTTAAATAATCAGTCTCTTTATGGGCTATAGAGAAATTACTTATTCTCTCATTGTTAGAATCATATTTAAATTCGTTGAAAGTTGAATTTTTGGCTACGGTTTTCGAAGGTGTCATGCCATAGTTCAATGTAGACTTTTATATATATATATATATATATATATATATATATATATATATATATATATATATATAGGCGTTTTAAAAAGCATATTTTATAAACTATTCTCTAAGACCATTAAATTCGAATGAGATAATATAAATGTTCCTAGACCTAAATATTAAGGATTCTGAGATTAAATCAAGTTTCAGTCTAAATTAATTTATATGGCATATTTGCCTAAGTTGTTCAAGAAACTGTCAACAAATTCGATGGAAAATATAAAAAGCTTTAGAATTAATTGATTGTTATTGATGGCATATAATCCTATAGTAGTGGTAATAGTTTTGATAAATTTGTTCATTTTTCACGAACAATGTGTCCAAATAACAAAAACAACGATAAGTTTACAACCAGTTGACGAGAAGATTTTGGTACATTTAAAATTTTATTAATTATATAATAATGTAAAAATGTTAAACCAAAGAAGTACGTATGTAGATCTGATTTTTTTATTTACACTATAAAATGATCTTATGTGAAGAAGAAATATAAGAATTTAAAATAATAGTGAAATTAAAATCTTGGACATGTCCGTGTCGGCAGTGTAAAAGGCTAATTAGGGAAATTATTTGATTTAATATTCTAAATAATAGTAATTGTCTTAGTTGTATGACAATGCAACACATTGATAAAATTCTTAAGCACTCATTCCGCTAGTGCCAAAAATCTCCCGACTAAAATGGCGTTTATCAAATTTGGCGCTTAAAATACTCTATATGGAATGTTTAAACTGCAAGTTGGAAACCAAATACATAGTCGTATCTCTGCGGGGGTCTCCCTAGATAACA